ATTTAATTTTTAAGTTATGGAACAATCGATTTTAATTTATTTTGCTTATTGTATTATTGCATATTTCTGTATGGTGTTTGAAATGTTTTACTGCATTCAAAACAAAATGTTGTTCAAAAGTTGAATAAGAACTCACGTTGAATCCTCCACAGAAGAGCTGGTTGTCGTCGTAGTTTGGGGGAGAGTTGTACCCAAACCTCCACATGCTGGCCCTACCCGGAGGCTCCAACAGTCGACCATGACCTCTGACCCCAGATATCCACACACTTAGCGTCAGGAGTATGGATAGTGTCACCATGGTAATAATGCTCATGTTGAAGGTTTCCTGCAAGAGTCAGTTTGTTACATCGCCTTTCCTAATCAACCATACATTTTAACAGCATTTCTAGGAGAGGAATTCCTACTTATTTGAATATTGTTAGAATTATTATAGAGTTGAAATATTGATAGAAGATCAATGAAAACATATATGGTGACAATAGCTCTTAGATATCGAGACACAACATAGCTAAACATGTGCTAAAATGTTCTTAGATATTATTTATCCTAAACTCAGGTACAAACTCACTTCAACAAAAACTAAAATTCATTTCGTACATAAACACGTACCTGTAATGCCGTATACTTCGGTCTTCTAGTTTCTGCCGTTGTCTTCGTCAGTTGCGACTGTATTCTTCCCTGGGTATTGTTGGTATACAACGCTCCACGTGCTCCTAGTATTTATAGTAAAATTATCGGAAGTATACAACACAAACAACTGGGTTCATTACGGTACAATGTTTGTTTTGTAAAGATAACATTTCTATAGAACACGGATACGGCGAAATGAAGACCTGACACTCCAACACTTGTACTGTACTTACTTACGGACTTCCCGTTCGGTCAAACTGTCAACGGTACTGATGTTAGTGCCTTTACAATACGATAAGAACATATGACGACATAACTTTTGTGTAGGTTTGTTGGAGACAAAAGTGGCCGAGTCAATTATTTTTAAATACATTTTATAATGAACACCTGTGTTTATAAATAACATATTGGACGCACACATACTATCTACCTGTACAGATAAGTTTTCAATACGCCATTTTGTTATAGGAACTTGGTGAAAGAAGTTTTAAAAGACGTTATTTTGTTTAACGTCACACCGATACAAATATCTACCCAAGATACAACAAGGATCCTTATTACTTCTGATAGCTATGCTTGAACGTTGATAATGTTGTGTGTGAAATCAACTTAAGTCTGGTATTTAAAAAAATAAAGATGCAATGCTTCAACGAATTGGTAATATACTAACATGTCTAAAACTAAAATCTAAAACCAGATTAGCATACATATTATTTTCCATTCTATACAGGCCTCTTAAGCCAATATTTTACTCGAGAATGCTTTTCAGCCTTCTTGATAACTCAATATTATTGCAACGCACTCATCACAACATCACAGTTGGTCAAATTAGTGCTTTATTTCTTGATCCTAAAGTGGGTTAAAAAACATAGCTGAATTTGGTCGATTTTCTCTGTTATGATATATGTATTCAGCATTTAGGGAAAATTAATCTTTATAACGATCAAGCTTTAAGTTTGAGATTTTACCATTTATAAATAAAATAAAAAGATACAATATTTTACTGAATAAGTCTTGAGCTAATATTTCTAACCGGATTAGCATACATATTATTTTCTGTCTTATACAGGCATCCTAAGTCAATTTAGTTTATCCGAGAATGCTATTCAGACACATTCTTGATTCAATATTTTATGCGGTATGCAATCATTCTAATGAAAGGTTTCGGAAAATCAATATCATTAATATGGTTAGCTTGCTCTTAGTTTCTTATACCCAATGCTGCACAAGAGGTAATTATTACGCATCACATTTGTCAAATTAGTGACTTTTTTCTTGAGGAGATAGAGCGTCCTCCATAAGTTCTCTTTGAAACCAATTGCGTACCTGGTTTAAAATAAATAATATGTTCTTATATATCGTATACAGAGCATGTCCACATACTTTCTACTCGTGGATGAAAAGATTACTTATCTATATCTGCCACTATACAGATAAAAATGTCGAGGACGATTTCATACCTTAAATGAACATCACTTTCACAGCAAGGTAGATTATGTCAACCATTGCATGGCCGTTGGTTTGTCAGTTGATTGAATGCGATGTCATCCATAAAGTGCTCTTTGTTATTTGACATATAACGCAATGTCTTGAAACCTATAAAATATATCGGTTTTGTATTAATAGTTTTCGGTACTCAAAGCAATTAAAAACCTTTAGATGTATTCAAACTAGAAAAAGTAAGCATAGAAACATATTTTAGGGACCGTCAGTTTTTGTGATATCTTGGACCAACGAAAAACGAAACACGTCGAAAAAACATCCACTGTTGCGGAAATCTTGTTTAGTTAATGTTTGAAGTGATCTTTGTCGACACTGATGTCGGAGCAGAGATCAATAAATAACCTTTTTATCTGTGTGAGGAAAGTAAGCGGACATGCTCCAGTTTACAAGAAAGCATTCATTGAAGTGCGACCCAAGACATTATGGTGGACGTTCTGGCGTTCTCATTTTGTTTTAAAAGGAGATAGTTGCTTTGGACAGGTGTTGAGGTAGCGTGGGTAAAATGGCTGTGGCTGAAGTGTTACGTTGTGGTAGCAATATGGTACCTTGATTTGTGCCTCCTTATAAGATGCCATGAAAAATAAGAATTCATAAAGGGCTGCTGGTTGACTGTAGACATATTAGAAAAAGTACAGTTGTATATATATATATTATAGTCTCATTACGTTACCTTAACGATAGCAAAATATCATTTTTCAATTAATATTTAATTTCGGAGAAGCCTTTTGTATTTTCGAATCAGAAAAGTGTCAAAATAAAATTCATACACTAATAATATAAATCGATAATGAATATTTATTGTTGTGTAAATAAAGTTTAATTCTTCCTATAAATGAGCATGTTTTTTTATTAATATTTTGTTATAATATCATGACGTCTGTTTACGCTACTCAAAACTAAAGTTAATCCTGTTTTATCCCCGACTCTGAATCACTCGCACGACATAATGGTGACATATCACAGGGATGATCCAGTCACTATCACTACAGGCAGTCAGGATTTCCTCGTACCCGGATACCACAAGTTTCGACTCATAAACTGTTTTAGATCACCTAGGTGATGTCTGACACCGTCCCCAGTTGCTGGGGCAGCCAAATAGGGTTTAAGTAAATACTTAAATGCATGAAAAAGGCTCAACGATGCTTGATCGAATTTGTGAATAAAATCAACCAATCATCAGCTGTTCAGATTTATTTGCTTACTTTCGTTGGGAAGTAATTAAGACTTTGTTAAATTCGTGACATGTTTGACATGAAAAAAGGAAGACTATACCAAAACAGGCAAAACACAAAAGTAACATTCTATTCTCATGGATGTTTAATTTTGATAACGAGTGTGTTGTAACGCCATATCAATAAACATAATATAGCTTGTATAAAAGCTTTTTCTGTTGCATTCTGACAGTTACAAGCTATATATGTTGGTTACTCTCAAACATCGTTTTCTCAGTAAAGCCCACAGTTAAAAAACATATTTGCTGTTAATGTATTATTTTGCTTTGCCATATTACAACCACAATTAAAATGCATTGCAACTAAGACGATCGTTAAAGCATATGGGTCTCTGTTATGAATAACAATGACTTGTTGTTTATGGATTTATGTCTCTCCTCTTGTTTTGATATTCCCAAGTTGCTATTGTTCTTGTGTTTGTCCAGTAACTGCCGCGTTTTAATGTCACTCCAGTTCCTATTGTTGTCTCACCGATGGCTGTGGTTTTGATGTCTCTTCCTGTTGTTGTCTTTTTAATCGACTGGTAACTCTTCAGAAAACACAGAATAAAGTTTAATATAATGCTGCTGTTTAGACGGCGAATTAGAAGCTTGAATATCTTGAATGTCAAATTAGTAAGTTTATGAAACCTCAAATAGGCATCTTCTTGTACGTTGTATAACAGTATGTATAACACAAATTCTGAATAGCACAAGAAAACTTTATTACACTGTTTAAATGTCTGTGTATAATATTATCAGATTATCTCTGACGATTTTAATAAATATTCATACACAAAATAGCCAGCATATCGTGATTACTTTTATCAGTAAAATTAAAAATAGCATATTAAGTACACTACAGTGACAACACGATGACATAAGAAAAACGGACCATGCACCACTTATCGCCAACGTCGTGATGACTCGGGGAATGGATGTCATAGTCAGGTAGACACTATCATGACGACGACGGTCAAATCTCATAAGAGTTTGTTGAGGAATTTCCGGTAGATAACCTTAGTTACATAGTGCATTACTCAACAGGAGAAATAACTCTTAGTTTAATTTTATGTTTAAATCTATGCTATCTACTTGAAATTTTATTGTTTTAATTACTATTAACCTGTGGCTGCATTAGAGAACGTAAAAGTTTCATAAAGAGTCGTTTGACGAAGATACGTACTAAATCTTTGTGTTTTAACTTTGTTTTACACGTAGAAAATCCAGAAATGAAACAAGATATGAAACAATCACAAGCGTACAACCGATCATAAATAAGAAGGTTGATTGTGTGATGACGCAAATATAATTTGTATACGTTTTGTATATACTAACATATTGCATGCGATAAAGTTAGATATGTTTGATTAGTAACTGCTGCTCTCAATCTTTCCGTCAGAACTGACCATACACACGTCCATTGATAAGTTTATGAGTAGGGGTACGACGTCACCTCGGTATTAACGTGGAGTAAATCGAACACCATTGACTGGCAAGGGCGTCATTCCTAGATATCCCTGTATCATTATCTTAAAAAATGTTATCGTCCCTGTACAAACATTGTACCGTAATGACCTCAATTGTTTGTGTACTACACTTCCGACAGTTTACTATAAATACCAGGAGCACATGGCTCTCTGTATACCAACAAACTCAACAGGAAGGCGACAGTACAAGAAACACAGAGAAAGCAACACTGAAGTTCTGTAGGACACTGAGATTTAATATCAACTGCTACTTTTCGCAAAAGGTATGTACGTCCCTCAATAGTATGAAGTTTTAACAAACTGTTATGCTTCTTTCTTCATACTTTTATCTATTTTGTATGTGAATGTCAGTTTATATTGATACTTATTTATGCTAAGGGAAAGTAATGCTTCAATATATTAGGAATGAACAATATCTTACTTAATTTTGAAAAAAAGACCAATTGCTTTGCTAACAATTCGCCTGTTTTTCACATTTCCAGAAACTTAACGGATCAGCATGAATTCTGTAACCATGGTGACACTGTTGATGTGCCTGACATTGGGCGCATGGATATCTGGGATCAAAGGTCATGGTCGACTGTTGGAGCCTCCGGATAGGGCCAGTATGTGGAGGTTTGGCTACAACTCTCCCCCAAACTACGACGACAATCAGCTCTTCTGTGGAGGATTCAACGTGAGTTAGCGTTCTATTGTTAACATGCAATGCTTAAAAATACTGATTTCGTTTCAATAGCATATATCAAACACCAAAATAGAAGTATGCATAATACAGTTATCAAAATATATTAAAGTACTTTATTAAATCATTAAGGTATTGTTCATACATACTACAGAAAAGGATAAAGCAGGAAGGATAAAGCAAGAGTGTGGAAAGATACGCAAAACGTACGCAAAACAAACTGTATTTGTTAAATCAATTTCATGCAAAACAATTAACAATATAAATATACCAAGTTGTAGTTGTTTAATCAATTACATAATCACTTTTTGTCTTTTATTTGACAGCGTCAGTGGAAAATCAATGGTGGGAAGTGTGGTGTTTGTGGCGATCCATGGAATGGACCACGTGACCACGAGGCTGGCGGGAAGTATGCCACCGGAACTATTGTCCGCCACTACAGCGAGGGACAGACGATCACAGTCAACGTCCAGATAACGGCGTCACACAAGGGTTACTTCGAGTTCCGCCTGTGTCCTCACAACAACCCCAGTACCCGTGTGTCCCAGGCGTGTCTGGACCAGCATGTCTTACAGCAAACTGACGGCAGTACTCGAGTTTACGAAGCTGGTCATCCTACCAACTATACAATCCATCTCAAACTTCCGGCCGGTGTAACGTGTTCTCAGTGCCTTCTCCAGTGGAAATACAACACAGGTCAGTCACTGTATTCAAACACATAAAGATATTTGGTATATTACGACCATGAAGGCTTTGTTTGCGTTTATCGATAAGGATCAATGAAGAATACGCAATGTTTAAAAGTATATTTCAATGCTACCCTGGACCTGCATATGATTCCACACACAAGCTTGTTTGTAATATTCAAGTGCATCACTCAATAAATTATCTCATAAAGTTGTTTTTGAAATTTTATCATTTTTTGTTTCATACTTTCATTACATCATGAAATAAAAACTACGTTTGTTTGTGTAATAAATAGCTTCTTTCATATTGATACAGGAAATTCATACGGTTGTGACGGAGCTCACTGCTGTGTGGGGTGTGGAGAACAAGAGCAGTTTTACGGCTGTGCTGACGTCAGTGTTGGATCCACGGGGGCTCCGTCATATTCATCCGGACAGATACATTCATCAGTCTATCATCCAATCCATGTCATTTCTGCTGGACAGGCTCAAACATCAGTAATTAATTCCCAACCACCGTCGTCGGCTCAGCATCAAGGATACATTTATCAGAACCATCAGCCCTCTAGCTATGTATCTCAGAACACTTATCCTGTTATTTCCGGTAGCTTGTTGTCCAGTGTAACCGGAAGTCAGCCATGTAAAGCTACTCTTCGATACCGAGCCGTCTACCAGTACGCCGACAAGTACTGTGCGGTACAGTGTAGTAGAGGCAACTGTCCGGGTCTACAGTACTGTACATCGGCGTGCCGGAGGTAGACAGGTGGCAAGTAGCGTATACAAATATATCTATTTATTTAGCAGAACATTTTCATATCAACATCGGAGTCTGAGGTTATACATACTGAACTCACAATGAGTTACATTGACAAATGTATTTATGACATTGATGCGGTGTAACACTAAAACTGCTTAGCTCGAATCGAAGGATTTGTGCCTCGTATATTTCATTTAGAAAAGATTCACAGCGATTGTAACTATTTTTACAATCTTTATTGAGCATAATACAGATATGGTGGTATGTATCTATATCACGTTATCTCCATCGTTTTGCAGTTACTATTTTAATTAAATAGTAAAATTGAAAAGAGATTTATATAGATAAGATTTATTGTTTTGTTAATATTGTGTAAACAATCTTGACATGATGTTACTATTTATTTTTCCCATCATCATATTTTTTATACATCATTCTATTTACTATTGAAACATTTCCTTTTTTTATAATAAAATTCATATATAAAAAAAATACCCGATTTTGTCCTTTTTTGCTGTATTAGCACTATTTACAATACAAAAACACACAATATGAAATGAAATTGAAACAAAATGAGACAAAGATTCCACAGAAATGGGGGCAGCGATTGCCTGTGTATGTTGATAATAAAATAAGAAGATATGGTGTTATTTTCTCTGAAACAATATTTGTTTTCTAGTATTTCAGTGATTTTAGAGCAAAACGTAAAATCAATTATTTAATAATAATATTGCATTTGATAATTTCTTCCGTTGTTCAAGTTCATTGTTTAGATCATTGATTTGAAAATTCAATTTATGATGTACAAGTTTATCATTCGGTAATCTTCATCAAACAACACTCCTGCAAAACATGTGAAAAAAACTCTGATGATGTAAAATACTCCAAGACATAGCATGTAAAACCATTCAACTAAAACACATGGAAAACTCTCAGAAAAACATGTGTAAAACATTCATTTAAGACATGAGTAAGGACTGAACTTACCTTTTTTGTGCTGAGAAGTGCAATAGGTAATGCTATGATCGAAAAGCGCCAGATTTAATTGCGACAGGTTTTTCCCGAAATACATGGTACCAGGGGATATTCAAAAACACTTAACTACAACATTGAATTAAGGAAGAACTTTCTTCCCACGAGAAGTAAACTTAATGGAACAGTCTTCCAGCACCATCAATAAATACAAATGATCAGGAACTGAAATGTATTTTCAGAGCTAATATACCTTGTTAAACATTAGCTGTTTATAACCAAACTTTCATAAGTTATACATGCATGTATGTTATTGAAAATATGATATCTATATAACATAATTGTAATGTATGACATATATAATAAATATATTGTATAAGATATATCATATACGATATCAAATAAATGGATGAAAACTCGTTATCCTATCAGCTACCTTATATTGGAACAAGGTTTTAACATGATGTTAAAAACGAAGTATCTCCGACAAGAACCTGTCGAGGGTTACAACCCGTAGACAAATCGCAATATTAAACAGTCTGAGCTTACGTTTAGGTTGTGTATAATGACAGCCTCTGATATGCCATAACAGAGACAAGGCGAAATAGACCGAATAGGCCTACATATCATCCAGTAGCGTATCATTCACCACCATTCTACCAAATATGATATCTATATACAATTACTGTAATGTATGACATATCTAATATATGTTATATACATTGTATCATATACTAACTATATCAGATATCTTAAATGAATGAAAACGTGTTGTATCAGCTACCTTATATTGGAACAAGGTTTTAACATGATGTTGAAAACGAAGTCTCTCCGACAAGAACCTGTCGAGGGTCTCACTTGCTGTCTACAAACCGTAGACAAATCGCAATATTAAACAGTCTGAGCCCACCTTTAGGTTGTGTATAATGACAACCTTTGATACGCCATAACAGAGACTAGGCGAAAAAGACCAACTGGCCTACAAATCATCCAGTAGCGCATACCTCTCCGCAATTCTGACAAATCCTGAAAAACGTGCTCCGAATATATTCTTCGAGGGAGAAATAAGCTCCCCGATTTAAAAGTCAATTAATTTCAATCCATATAAGATATCTTATATACTTGATATCATTTATATCATATCTGAAGTATATGATATCTTTCTTGTATATAACATATATCATTTATTTAAGGAATGATTTTTATTTTTTCAACATTTATGAGGTCATAACAACAATGGGTTTATGGACATATTGAATGAATCGCGTTAGCGATTCATGTAAAATATGTCCAAAAACCCATTGTTGTTATGACCTCATAAATGTTGAAAAAATAAATATCATTCCTTATATTTACATTGACGAATCCTTTCAGTGGATCGATATAACAACGAATAAAACAAATAAACAGGGTTTGTTCCTGCTTATACACGGGTGCAACGCAGTGGCGAGAACAGTGTTTTTTCGCGGGGAAATGTGACACTATCGTGAGAGATCTTAGCAACCGTCAACAACAATAACACAACAAAATGTAGTTCCATATTCAATGTTTATTTGTAGCACAGGACACGTGAATACGTGGATATTTCACAAAGCACAGTTCAATAATATTTTAAGATGTAAGAATTAAGCATCTAGGTCGGTCGTTCCGAGTGAGTAGTTTTTGTAGTGTATTACTACGCAGTGTGATCAGGTTACTATCAGTTCCCACGTGCTGAGATTCTATGAACACCTGTGTTATGCATTTATGAATGTAATTTTTGTCAATGGGTCTAAGCATACAGAATGTAAATATATAGAAATACAGGATCGACATTACTCCTTGAATGATTGTTAAGTTTCCAAAGTTTAACATTTCAACCTTCGCCGCAGCCATATATTGTTACAGAAGAATTTTCAATCTACGCTGCAGTCATATTACTTATCACTAGGCCTAGGAACTAAGAAAACATCTATTTACAAATTAAGCATGTCGATACAGAGTGTGAACAATTTCATGCGCAATTTAACAATTTTGTCCACCTAGGACGCATCAATGGTACTAAAGGTGAAAAGTATGTCAATTAATGAATAAAGTGAAAGTTGAAAATAGTCTATGAAATCCTTTATAACGTTACATATTTACAACTTTCTGTTATACAACAGATGCTTTACACAAACTACCCCGGTATGGTATCCCATGTGAACCAGAATACATTCCAGCAACGAGGTAACACCCACCTTAGAAAACTTTTTATCCGTTTGAATTATTAACTCTACGTCGCTAAATCAATTTGCGAAAGAGTAACTACCTGTACAGCTGAAAATATGAAAATTGATCAGATTTTCCATTTTCTCATAACTAGGAGCTGCTTACTACTTTAACATCGTTTCTAAATGGAAAAATAACTAGGTCAATGTACCGTCCGTGGAAAACTAAATTATAACTAGAGGACGATCGATACATGCGATGGGATGTAGTAACTAAATATATTTATACAAAAAGGTATGATATATGTTTTAACTAGGTTGTTGTTTAAATTCAATTAGATACGTATGCTTGGTGATAAAATGTTCACAGTTATGTGCAAGTCAACTGTTTCAGACACGAAACTCTGATCGTGAAGTTTATACTTGATTATATTTTTGTGTCAAATTGATTTACACTTCATAATGTTTATTGTTCCATATAATCTTTTAATCGTTTCGTGGAGAACTTTGTTAATAACTCTCGTCCCCAATCCTTGTCAGGTGTCTTACATGAATGTTTCGTTAGGGATTCGTGCGTCTTGTACTTTTAATTCTATTTGTTTGTAACTGGTAAATGCAAAAATACATTAGGCACATGCAGTGTCCATGAAAGTCCAAGATAGGTAGACATATATGACAGACATTTGTGTATATTGGAACTTAAAGTAAATAAAATAAAACTCCAACCTGTTGCCTTGGGTGTTTACACATGGAAATCAATAACATATTGGATCTTTTAACAGCCTCTGCTGTGTAGTTAGAGGCACATTACAGTCTCTGTTCCCTACACGAAGTGGCATGGTAACCACTTATAATAGAATTCTAAGATCGAATAGTTAAGTCACTTTGCAGTACGATGCTGGTTAAAATCTTGAAGACTTTACAATGTAATCTAGAACACGTCGGAATTTATTTCGCTTATCTAGGGCAATGGAAGCAGTTCCATACATTTTACATTAAAGTTTCATGATCACAAATTGGGTTATATGTAAGATGGTCCTTATATACATTTGAATGCAGCTGACTCACATTTTCCCTGGTGAAAATATGAAATATGTCCATTTTCTACAGCAATCATCATACTTTAAAGTATCAGTACAGTTATATGATTGCAGTACGTGTAAATTTCACTTGAATAAATTGTTTAGTAGTGTTGGATTGAGATGTTTTAAATATTTTTTTTTAAATCATTGGTTTATACATTATCTTGAAAAATTAAGGCTGTAGTTTTTACAAATTCGCAAATACCAAACTCGCGATTAATAGGATGCTATTTCAAAATCGTTGTTAGGTTCGCTAAAGACTTCATGATGGAAATATTTAAAACTGGTGGCCTGTTCCGCAAAGATATGATATTAATCAAACTGGTCAGTCCTACAGAGAAGAATTATGAAAAAATATGTAAGATGATGATTGTTGATCATTGTTAAAATAGGCATAAAATGTCCCCGTACTACCCCGTTAAAACAGTCATGCTGCAGCATTTTATAATTGTATGGGGCACTTGAACAGAAATATGGTAATATTTAAGTTCAAGTTTGTGGAGTTTATTTTGAAGCAAGCCCCATCTTTTTTGGTTCTTTGTACACCTTATTATAAAAATCAACACAAAGATGTATACATATGTTCGATTTCTGGCATTTAGAATAAATGCTCGTTTTCGACAATTTAAGTGTTTGTTATTTTATCGACAAAAAACATAGCAGAGTATAACCTGTGTGTGCTGTTGGGTTTAATGCAGACTAAACACGATAATATAAAAGGAAAATGCATTCAAATATCATGTCTTTCTTCAGTAAGTACATTTACATATCCGTAGATATACTTCTGAGATATTTTAATAAGAAGATCACATTTGTTCTGCGTGAGATTATATCACACAACACTAGTTTGTGTTTAAACTTTATATCATTGGTGGAACTGTTTCATAAACATGTGATCAAACATTTTTCTGACCATGTTCTACTCATGATTCTTATCATTTATATCAACTATATAGATAGGAAATTAATTATCACGAGTTATCTGAGAATTATCTATGTTTGATTAGTTTACTTCTCTGTTTGTATTATTGAATTCCGATATATTTACCCAAAACGACATTATATCTAGATCCTCATTTATCTATCTGTATTATGCCTAGAACAAAGAGCGATGTCCTCGGCAAAACGTTTCACACGGGAGCGTAATTAACCCAATAGGTAATCAATTAATGAATAATAAGGTTCGGGTTCACAGCCTTGATATACACCAACGTTAAATGTTTGCACATTTGTTTAATATCCATCTATTACTTCTATTTGTTGCATATCGTTAGATAACATGGTATCAAGTTAAACTGTTTCGGATGGACAATGGTTTAAAGTACGTTTGATTGACACACAACAGACTGGTTGGCAAAACATAAGGGGTTGAAATTGAATAACAATTTTATTTAAGTTTGTTTCTGCTTATAAAATATAGATTACATGAAATAGTTTTGTAAGCTATTGACACATTGCCCCATGTGTGTTGACGGAATAATGTCTTATACCTGTATACATATTGTCCAGGTGTTTGTGTATTGGTTCAGTGTGCCACATCAGTCTTTGGTGTTGAGATAGTGTAGAATGTCAAGATATGTAATTTATTGATTTGACACATACAGAAATAACAGTTTTATAGATATTGTCCTGGTATATTGACGGTCTTGTGTGTTCTATTTTACCTAAAATGGTATATATCTATTTTGATAATAGATACAAAAAGCTCTATATTTCCTTTTTCAAAGTTTTATTATCAAAAATATGTAAAGTTCAACACAATCGCATCTCCTATACAAAATATATATATTCATAATGCTATATTATACACTAAATGATAACATCATGACAAAAGCATCTTAGAAAGTTATAAAACGTCGATGTGTGGCATCATTCACTAACACCAAACAATGTGCTATTATATGTTGTATGTCTTTGGCACTGACAATGTATTATGCACGAGAACAATATAAATGTAAAAAGATGATAAATAATAATATTAACAATTCATCGATAAAGAATGATGACATGTGAATAGAAAATTGAGCGTATTGTAAACACACAGTGCTTTTTGTAAAAGTTTTAAATACGCTACTTGCCACCTGTCGACCTCCGGCACGCCGATGTACAGTACTGTAGACCCGGACAGTTGCCTCTACTACACTGTACCGCACAGTACTTGTCAGCGTACTGGTAGACGGCTCGGTATCGAGGAGTAGCTTTACATGGCTGACTTCCGGTTACACCGGAAAACAAATGACCGAAAATGAAAGGAAAGGCGTTCTGAGGTACATAACCAGCTGGTTTATGGTTCTGTATGGATTGTCCTTGATGCTGTGCGGAGGACGGGAGTAGGAAGTGAATCCCTGAAGTTTGGGTTTGTCCCTGAGGTATGACGTTGATTGGGTGAAAGACAGACGAGAGAATCG